AGGGAGAGAGTGTGACTGAGATCAAGAAGAAAAATATCACTACTTTGTGGACTCCAACAGCATTCCATTGGTCCTCTTGTCTTTGAGTTCATGAGGATCCTGCAAAACATAGAATACATTCAGGGCAGGTGGGAATGCCCAGGTGCCTTCCCTGGTATCTTCAGAAAGAGAAAGGAGGAGAATCCATCAGAAAAATTCTAGTTTGACTTAGACCCGCCTATGTGCAACACTGCAACTCTCTGATTCTCATCACACAAATACTCTTCCTGAAGGAGGTTAAAACTGMTGCTTTTGTTGGTAGCTCCACAGTAGCATTCCTGCAATGAGTTTGATGCTTCCACCTGCAGCCTCTGTGAGTGCTCTTAGCACCTCACTTATTGAATCTGATATAAAACAATTTTGCTTTGGAACTGGCACATTTCTGACTAAATCTGCTGGATGATGCTTTCACTGCTGTCTGGCCACAGGGACAAGCTGTTTTACTTTGCCCAGTGTATTACTGATCCCCCTGTTATTAGATTTTGCCMTTGGCAGACATTCTGGTCCTTGCCTTATTGCTTTTTGAGTTGCTCTGTRTTCATGTATTCCCAGGTGACTGTTCAAATACACTTGGTGTAAAATGCACTGCGGCCCATCTAAATTTTTGCTACAGGCTCCAAAGGATAGACCTTAACTTGGATTTTAGCAGGCTGTATGGTTCTATATTAAAAAAAAATTATCCTTGTGAGAGGGAGTTACATCAAATTATTATGAATTTTTTAATCTGTTGGAGTAGAAGCACATATTTGCATATGGGCACTGACTRTGCTCAGACAGGGCTGATAGATATAGAAGGTATGTTGTAATATGCAAYAAATAGTCAAACTGGGTTCCTTTAYCAGAMAAACTGGGTCTCTTTATCCACAAACTTTCATTCTTTTMATGGAATCACTGCAGTGATTCATGCACCACTGGGTTGTTAATTGTGTTGATAACAAATTTATTCCATACTCAGCATTAATTGGAATACAGAAGTCTGTCAAAAAACTCTGTGTAGAATGTCAATGTTTTGTATTTCTTTTAAARCAGGATCTAAAACAATCTTCTAATACATGATATTGATTTGTATGTATATGTGTRTATACCTATGCATACACACASAGGTGTGTGCTGSCATGTCTCCSGATTACTGTGTCATTTATATCAYGTTAGATAAGKTCAATGTGATGGTGTAGATCAATCCCCTCAGGATATTCAAAGWTACTGGATATAACATTACTAGCTGTGGTGTGAAAACCCTACATCATTTTAAATGGCAATCTTTTGAACACRTACATTTATAATAATCTGAATTTTGGTCACTGCAATATAAGGAAGATATTTCCATGTACAGGAGGTCAACAAAGATGGCGAAGAGCCTTGAGGGAAAGCCATATGAGAGTGGCTGAGGTCACTTGGTCTCYTCAGCCTGGAGGAGACTGAGGGGAGACCTCAGTGCAGTCTGAAACTTCTTTGTGAGAGGAGGAGGAAGGGAAGGCACTGATCTCTTCTCTGCGATGACCAGTGTCAGGACCCAAGGGAATGGCCTGAAGTTGTGCCAGGGGATGTTTTAGGTTGGATAACAGGAAAGATTCTTCACCCAGAGGGTGGTTGGGCACTGGCACAGGCTCCCCAGGGAAGTGGTCACAGCACCAGCCTGGCAGAGTTCAAGAAACGTTTGGACAATGCTCTCAGSCACAKGGTGTGACTCTTGGGGATGYCCTGTGCAGGGACAGGAGTTTAACTTGATGATCCTTCCAACTCATCATCTTACCATGATCCTTTTAACAAAAACTCTTGCCTGGTATAGTTTCATTATCTCAGAAAATACTGTTGTTATTAAAAGGTATGTTGATAACAAGTCTGATGCTCAAGGTTGATGTCCTTTTCTGTGGTTTATGCCACACAAAGRGGAGTGATAAAATCCAGGATGCAGTTGTGTTTTCCTTGATTCCTGTCAAGAAATTGCATCTTCAATTTTATGACTTCTCTCAGAGAAGATCTCTACTAATGCCAGAGAAATAGTGAGGAATTTCTGAAAATTATCAYGGTAAAATGAGTTTCAGTTTTATGCAGAGTGCAACACAGACTGTTATGCCTTAATTTGATGGATTTTTTTTTTAATGTTATTATTTAGAATTGAGATGTATCGAGTTCCCATCAATCCTGCCAATTAAAATAGGATGTTATAACRTTCTATTAATATTGATATAGTATTAAAATAGAATGATGGATAGGCAGAAAATACAAAAATAAAACAGCATAGATATACATAATGTCACATGGAATTTCAATCATTTTTTCCAATGATTTAATAAAGTTTAAAATGTACATGTACCAGAGAAAACACAGGTAAATTAAATGTAAACACAGAAATATCAACCAAACTGCTGGCATGTTTACATGTTTTTATTGCCTGGACAGCAGAAGAATGAGGGCTCAGAGACAACATCTGGTTCTCCCAGCCTAACAAGTGACTCAGTGTCAGCTGAGCCCTGCTAAACACCTCCCTGTGGGTGGCAAATGCAAGCTGGTGTGGTTTATATCACCTGTCCTTAAGTGGTCTCAGCACTAAGATGAGATCTCAGACAGATTTTGCTGCATTGTCTCCAGGCTCAGTGGGCTTCCCTGGACACCTCTGCCTGCAGGAGATCACTGAGTCGTAGTAACCTGTTTGGGTGTGTRAAGGGATCAGCTGGCATCATCAAACAAATTTGGCAGTGATTCTTTTAAGTTATAACCAGCCCAAATTATCTGCCTTCTCCCACGACAGTGCTGCAGCAGGGTTGTAGRTTAATGATAGTTCCACACCTCACTGCCCCAGTGCCTTCAGATGACAAGAAGACCAAGGCAGTACTCACACATAGTTCCAAAAAGGTGGAGCAAGCAGGACCGAGGGYCTTCTCCCACTTCAGGAGCATCTCAGCAGACAGTGTCTATAAAAGCCAGCTCACTGAGGATTTAGGAGGTGTGAACACAGCTATCATTCAGCAAGATGCTTCAGTCCACACTTCACTTTAGCTCAGCAAATCATCCTGGCTGCAATGATCCCTCCTTCATGCCCACCCCACCTCTGAACACCTCRCTGAACATCTCACTGGTAGCCCTGCTGCCAACCCATGGTGACCTCGATTAAGCCTCTGAGGAGCTCACTGTACCAGGGTGCTGCTGGGGCCAAGAATTCAGCCACATTCAGAGAAGAATTGGAGATTTAAACAAGTAACACGATTATTCAGAGCTATTATAGCTAATGCTAACAAAAACTTTGGAAGAGAGATAAGGCCTCATGCTTCTGGGTGTAGGCCAACCTCTAACTACACTTACTAATAGACTGAGACCTCCAGTTACCTAATATCTGCTTTCAGGGACCTTTCACACACTGTTCTCTGAGCAGTGGCCATCATCAAAGGCTAAAAGATCAGATATAATTTAATCTTACCCAAAACACCAATTTCATAATTCCCTAAATTGCTAAAACCTTTCAGCCTGTTTTTTGTTTAAACTCTATAATGGGAAATCTTTGACTTTAGAGGGGAATTTTGAGCATTTAGAAGTGCTTGAGTATTGGATCTTCTCTGAAAACATCAGTGCTGTGTAGGCAAGAATTCAGAGACCACACACTACTAGTAATAACAATAATAAGTTTGAATCATGCAAGGTACTAATTGATYGATCTGGTTTGCTTTTCAAATTGTAGTCTTTTATCATGTCCATACCTAACGAGGCTAAGCCCTTTAAAATTTTCTTTCYGAACAGGATGCAAATGGCAGCTTGTTTTTAGAAAGACAATTTCTCTTATTGGAAAAAAGAAAGCCTCTTATATAAAAGAGGTTCAAGGAAAATAAGACATTTTTTATCTCCAATTACCTATTTCCACTTCCTGTATTTATGTTCATATACCTATATAAACAGACAAACTTTTAAGCTTGAGTTTAAAAACCGATCACAAATGATTGCATAATATGAATATTCTGAATTCTTTGTCTACTAAAATCCAGCTTTTTGGATAGATGACAAAATTCTAATGCCATTTCAGTCCACACTAATAAGAACTCTATCAAATAATATTACAATAAGTGAAAAACGCATTTACATTTTCTCAAGGRCATCAATAAATATAAAAATCATTCATTGATGAGTTACACATAATACTAAAATTCTGTGGGTTTGTTATCAAAGCTGTTAAAATTATTAAACACCTCTAGGTGATGGATAGGGATCTACAGCTAGGTTGCCTACAAAAACTCCGTATTCTTCAAAATGTAGGGAGAATCATGTCAATGGAATGATTTACTCAGATGAGTTCAGTTGTTTGCAAGTTTGATATAACTTGTTTTGAAAAACAGAGGGTTGTTGAGACACTGGCATTCATATGCTCTAATGCTGTTACGCTTTCATAACTTCTGATTACTGGAGTCATGGGATAAACCTGGATTTTTTTGCTTTTTAGAGTTGTATGAAAAAAAACAAAGCATGAGCTGTGTGCTGCATTCAAATGAGAGCATGCTTAAAGAGATAGAGAGAAAATCACAATCATGGTAACAAAATTTAAAAATATGCATCTGCTATAATTAAATTCATGCAGCCTTCCTAGGACAGAAGCAAAGATSCTGTATATTGCTATAAGTGCCACTTCTGGTGATGTAACTGCATTCACAATTGACTTACATRGATTAGAACCGTCCAAAGCTAAAGTCTCATCTGTTTACTTTTTGCACCTTAGGGGAAGCATGAAACCTCTGAAGTCAGTTTTCTGGGTTTTTTGCAGTCGCTGGCATCTTAAAGACATCTGGAAACAAGCATAGGGTGATAAATTAWCACCAAAGCAGTTTTACACAGGAAAACTGTGTGTTAAAAGTAGTGCAAAACAGAAACACTGTCCTTTCAGTAAGGAGTGAAACAGAGAACAGGACTGTTGCATGAATTTTCCTTSCAAAGTCTTTAGCAGCCAGACTAATCCCAGACACACCTCGTGCTGACCTTTACACATATACGCACAAAACTTTCTGGGAGACTTCCTTCCCCCAGTTCTTACTTACTTCATCTCCCAGCAGGGCTGCCTGCTGGACCTGGTGATCCCGCTTCCGTACGAAGGGAGAGAGCCTCCACCTACCCTGCTCTCCTTCCTTCCCTCCCCAGTCCCTCACTCCCTCTCTTCCCCTCAGGCTGGCAGGATTCCTCGGGCAGAGCATGCAATCAGTTTGCAGGGAGCAGCCGCAGCCACARCAAAGATGCAGAAGCACAACCAGAAGGAGCACCTCTACAAGCTGCTGGTGATCGGGGACCTGGGAGTGGGCAAAACCAGCATCATCAAGCGTTATGTCCACCAGAACTTCTCCCCCCACTACCGGGCCACCATCGGGGTGGACTTTGCTCTGAAGGTGCTCAACTGGGATGCTGAGACTGTGGTACGGCTGCAGCTCTGGGATATTGCGGGTGAGTACAGAGGGGAACCCTTTGCCCCACAAGGCAGTACGAAGTATAGACCCCAATTCATTTGTGCTGAGCTAAAAGCTGGGAACTGCCAGTGCCTGTGCGGTGAGGGAGAGCAGATGGAGGGAAAACTTTAAGGGTAGATGGACATTTTGGAGTTTCCCTAAAGCCAGGGGGCTCCCAAGCAAGGAAAGTCAGAGTCAGAGTGGAACCTGTGCTGTCTGATTTTTCTCCCTTGGACACATTCAGGTACACAGGCGCCTCTCTCCATATGCCCCGCTTGCTTCCCTGCAGCTGACAGTGTTCTTTTTTCCCTCCTTAGACTAACAGATCTCTGTGACAGGAGGAAGAGTAGCAAGAATGTCCTGTTATATATTTTAATTTGATGGAATAGAGGAGGCATTCAGTAAAATAATAAAAATTACTTTTATAGTTTTAAAAATAAAGGAAGTGTATATCTGAGTTAGTTTATCAAAAGACCTTCCTTTTTCCTGTTCTTCCTCTTTCTCCTACCTTCCCTCCTTCAGTCCAATGAAAGCAACTTCTTATGTGTTTTGAAAAGAGAAATGTTTCTATTTGGCAGTAATGTTGGTTGTTAAAATTATAATTACTCATGTTTAAATATCCTTGTTCCAATAACAAGAAAAACAAAAGATGATTCACCCTGTGCAAGGAGAAAAAGAGTAAAGAAGTTCAGCTATCCCCATATGTTTACATCATTAAAACCCACAGAATCTGACATTGTTGCTGTCAGTGCTTCAGACATTTTTGGTTTGGCTTCAGATTAAACACACAGCTTTTTTTTTTCTACTCCCTTTCTGAAAATTAAACACTTGTTTCAGCCCACAAAATAAGTTTACTTTGATGGTGTATATCACATGCTGTAAGTAATCATTTTTCATTTAGTAAGCGCAGGAATCCGAATATAGCTGTAACACAATAAACTACAGCATAAAAGATGACATTTAAAAACTCAATTAAATTAAGAAGTTACTTTCATTAAGGAGGGAATAAAGGTGAACATCATATCAGCTGTTGGGCAATTGTGTCAGCCTGTGGCCTGAGTAGTGGGCTCAGTGATCTAGTCTGGAACAGCACTGGGCAAAACTGGTGAAATGAAAAAATTCTTGACATTCTTATCGGCGGAGGGAGTGCCTTTCTTCTGCACTGAGCTGTCTCATGTCTGAGCTCTGAATTTGGCACTGAGGTACTGAAACTTATGCAACAACGCTGCTTTATGCAAAACGCATAAACTCCGCTTTTTCACACACTAATACAGCCTTGTGGTTTTATGYTGCTAAATACATATATGCTCAGTTTTCTTTATTAAAAGTTGGAATAATGGGGCAAACTTTTATTTTATTCTTCACCAGTGGCTGATTGTAACAACAAACACATATAGTGCCAGAAAAACTTTTCTGCGTGAGAAAAAAGCATTTAATAGTAAATTCTGAATGTATCAGGGACTTAAAGAATGTATTTTGCATGCCTTGTTTCAGAGATTTATTACACTACTAATCATGTGCTGGCGGATCATATGATGTAGCTTTCAGTCAGGCTGCAGAAGCAATTACACCTAGATGTAGTACTGAATGACTAGCATGCTTTCTGAGTTATCACACATGACAGAGAGAATTACAGCACAGTACTAAATTTCGTATGAATTGCCCAATTCAAAGCATCATTGTGAAGGTCAAGACAGTGGTCGGTGATAAAAAGAGTTGCTGTCTTAGTTTAATGACTGGTGCTTAAGGAGCTTTAGCTGCTGTTGGCTGTACATAGAAAAAAAGTTCTGTAAGCAGCAYGCTGAATTCAGATGGTCATGCTGCAGGCATGGAAGTTATCACAAATAAGGCATCTGTCTGGTGAGAGGAAAAGAACTTTTAAAATGAAAGAGAAGTAAAACTGATTGGAAATATGGAGAGAATGGAGCTGGTTTCTTCTGGCTGTCGCTGGTCATCTATCATCATTTGCAAAACACAAATAGACAATGAGAAGATGGAGGAAAATAAAATCTCGGRTCTCAGAACATCTTCTTTCTTTTGGGAGACTCTGTTATTAGGCCAGGTTTATCTGTGGGTAGGGAAATTAACTTTCATCCTCTGAAGGATGTTGGCTTAGCATGCAGGACACCTTGAATAGGCAAAATGCTGCAAATGTATCAATAATATTGCCCATCAGTGTCTACATATGAATGCATATTTRCACATTTATGTATATATAGGTATCAGGTATCATTTTGGCTCTTAAACCCTTTCCCATCTCCATTATATGGGCAGTGAACCCAGTACCAAGCATAGATGCCCTCTTCCTTGTGCTTCATGCTGTGGATCAGTGGGTAGTAAATTGTTTAACAATCTAGAAATAATTTTCTCAAAAAATGTTGTGAGTGTAACCAGCGTCAAGCTTATCTACATTATTAGCAGGATTTATGTATATGGTGACTTCATTGGAGGAGTGACATATTCCAGCTGTGGTAGGATCAAGCAGTTTAGCCTGGTTTACCCTTGCCATACATAGGAAGGAAAAGTAAATTTGGTTCATCTGGTGTCACCTAATTAAATGYAGTTAATATCTCTGTAACATATTTTTGTGTATTTTTTAATTTGGTAAACAAATCTATAATACAATCTAATAGCTAAATGCTGAAACTGGATTTATTTGGATAAGAGAGAAATGCCAAAAAACAAGGATAACTAGCATTAGAAAAATTTATTCAAGGATAATGTAGGCTCTGCATCACACATTGTTACATTAAGATAGGATTTTTAAAACATAATATATTCCTGAAGCTATGAGTGTTGGGCAGGAATAGTTGGATTAACCTTCATGTTTTATGATGATACGATGTTTGTAACAACATGCTGACATTAAAATCCATGAACTTATGTCTGATTCAGTGAAGTGCCYAAGTTTGAGGTGACTGAACTTTTAATATTGTGTGTGGGAGGAGATATACATGATAAAATTCTTCTTGTCTTTAATTTCTTCAAAACGATTCTATGTTATTACACCTTATGTCACAAATTATCAGTTTTGGTGTTCCTGTTAAAGTGTGAAATCACCTCCACTGCTGTGTCATTCAACTTTAAATCTCGCTCCTCAGTCAGTTTCTTCTTGCTTCTTAATCTTTTCTGCTGCTTTTGTGTACATATCCTTTAAACTCATTAACCAGTTGTTAGAAGGAAAGCTTTAAAATAAACTTTTAATCATATTTTGCACAGGGTTACTGTGGATGGGATTGGCCCTGCAGATGCAGGCCAACACACAACTTCTGAAGAAAATAGCTGTTGCAGAGAGGAGATCTGGTGTGTTTGCTGTTCCCTTCTCTACAAGGCTGCTCTCTATGCTGCTTTCTGGTTTCATGCCCACACAGCCCAGGGATTTCTCTGAAGACCAGCTTTAGATTCACTGCAGGGAGAAGCTTTGAGTGCACCAGAGAGCAGAGAGCAGCACATCAGAGCCTGCTCACTGCTCCTTTCCCACAGCCATCTCAGCATCCCCTTTTATCACTCCTGTGTGGGCTGGATTATTCATTGCCACCAAAACAATGTTGGTTTGTGTTTAAAAGGCCAGTTCTCATCTTGTTAAGGGTTGGACCAGTGCTTTGGGGAAAGAACAGTTCCATTTCCTTTCCTTTCCATTTCACTTTCACCTTTGGAAGCAGCAGTCTTCCTRCAGATACAGAAGGGTATCTCTGCAGTTGTAAAGTTTTTAGGACYGTTCTGCTGCAGAGGGAGTAAGCAGAAATCTGCTCCCTAATGCCAGGCACAGCACGTCCTCAGCRTTTTCAGCTTTCAGCAGCTGCTAAGCATTGCAGCACATCTGCATAAATGAGATAGTCATGGTGATTTCTAGGCTAAGTTACCTTGAAATTACTGCTCTGCAAACATCAATAAGTCTCTTGCTGTGAGGGTTTTATTTCAGTGTAGATTGGTGGTGGGATCCATGGGCCAGATCCTGCTGACAGCCTTTTATTCCGCATTCTGCAGCAGTGAACATCCTCTCAAGGCTCGCTTAAGCTTCAGTCCATAAAGACAATTGTTTGAATTCAAGTGTGAGCATTCTGAAAGTTGTTTTGAAGTGAAAGGTAAAAAATGTTCAAATCTTGCCCACAATTTCCAGCTTCTCAGTGTTGGATAAGGGTTGTCTGTAAAGCAAGGTGCTTCCCAAAAGCATTTGTCTCTTGGGATGGTGGAAAGAAGTAAAATGCATCACAAAACTCAGCATGGAGCAGTTTTAATCAATTTTTAATTTCAATTTTTGTGCCACATTTCAGATGTTGTGGTCAAAATGCTGGAAATTATCTGAATTTTAGCATTTCATCATTATTTTTTGTACCTTTATCAGAGATGATAGTGGTTAGTGAAAATTGTAGATTTCTGTACAAATTAATGTGGGATAAATGTTTATAAACTATGAAAATCCAGCTGTTGATTGCTTTAAGCCCTGATAGCTTTCCCTGCTGCAGAGGTGCCACTGAGATTAGGATAAACGTGCAGGCAACTGCCCTTCAGACAGGGAGTTCTTCCCCGAAACAGAAATCTTGTTGCTTTGTCACGTTGGTCTCACTTCCAAGTAGAGTAAGATTCATCTGAATTAACMATTAGACATTTCTTCTCAGACCCTGACTACAAGGCAACACTAATCTTAGGCACTCCCAGTTAATTTTTTTAAAATCTAATTTAGGGCTGATAATCCCAATGTAAAGCACCATCTCAGTAGGCAAAGGCCATTGGATTTACAGGGTTTGATGCAAGGGGTGCAGTAAAGTACAATGGGTCAGATCATATATTTCCCAACTTCCTGACCCTTCCAGGGAAAAGCAAAACCYATCTTCCTCAGTCGATCTTGCAGTAAAGCAGATTCTAATGCTCAAGGCTGCCTGCAAGATACCATTGAATTCCTAATGGCTGATCTATTTTCTAACCTAATTCCTGCTTAAGCCATTGTGTTCCTGAAAACCTAAGGCCAGATTTTGACATCTTTAATACATAAAATAGTGTATTTTTACGAGCAATTTTTATGAGCAATTCTGCTAAATGAAAAGGTTTTAGGAACCTCATCTTTAATATCGGATTTTGTTCACATGAGGCAGAATCTGTGGAAAAAAGAACACTTCTGCATCCTTAGACATATTATTTAGCTCTCCAAGCAGAATGCAAATACTAGAGATCACTTTTTCCACAACATAAATTGAAGTCATTATGCAAATGTCATAAAACTAAAACTCTGATTTATAAAGAACCTTCTTTTCTGTTCAAAATTGTCTAATGTCTTTTCTGWCAAGTATATTCAGTAATTATAACTGATGGAAAAAAAAAGACCACTTCTAAAAGAGTTTAGACAGTTTATCCAGCCAGCAGCTCCATTCTTCCTCTTTCTTTGAAGTGATTGATGATGGAAATTGGTTATTCCTGTCTTCCTGCATAATGCTGCTTTTGCAAACATGTTGACTTTTCTGTGCAGTGAAAATCCTGTGTGTCTGAAAAAGCAGCTGAAAGCAAGAGGAAGAATTACAATTTGTCAGAAATTTGTGGGCCACTAATCAGAAGATCACAACATATTYCTCTAGCAACTTTCTTTGTGGTGAATGATTTCATGGTGCAAATGAATAATTTAGTCCATGTTCTATGACACCATGTCCCACCTATCTTAGAGATTTGTGTCCCAATTGATATGTGTGAGGCCTGAGTTGAGCTTCGCTTATATCGCCTACAGTGTAAGCATCCCAAGAGCTTTGTATGAAAAGAATAAAGCATCAGTGAAATACAACATCCATCACAAACTATTATAAATGTTGCTGCTTACATCACTTCTATGTTTCTAACCAGACCTTGGCTTTTGTTTGAAGGCACCTTCCTGCAGATGAAAAAAGAATTTCTCAACAAGGAGTTTATTGAATAGCACATGACTTAGCCATTCATCTGATTAGCCCACTCATAGGAATCATAAGACATTTGAATAAAATATAGACCTAAGAAATTTTGAATATGACCTCTTATTTTCCTGAAATAATCTATTTCTATCTTCCTTTATCAATAGGACACAGTGTTTYTTTAAGGTAAAAAGAAAGTTGACATGAATTTGGAGAAGACAGGCTTCCTTTTTGGTTTCTGTATCACGTGAATGACTTTCTCCTTGCTGCCACAGTGCTTAAAACCAAAGATAAACATCACAAAATGATGTTTTTGACCCCCATAAGGGGGTTCAATGCTATTTCCATTAAACGAAAGTGCATGGACTAAAAGCCCAGCAATCAACACTCTTCCCTTCTCAGCCCTTCCTTGCATTTGACAGCACAATTTCCATCAGATAAATCCTCCACAGGTAACCTTCATGGGGTCAGAGGCAGACTGCCAATCTTCTTGTCTTCCTAACCTACTCAAAATTACTCACATTGAGAAAATAAGGCTAGAAACAAGTTTGCATTGAATCTTTCTATTTTCATAGTACTTTTTCCCAGTTATGGAAGAACATGCAGAAGTTGTCTTGCTTAAAGACTGCTATTGTTGTGAAATGTTTCAGGAGTTTATAATTTAGATCATAGCTCAGCACTAGACATTAATGGAGATTCTACTTTTTATTTTCAAGAAAAATTCTGTTGAATTTATTTTTTCAGAGTTCACATGAGAACAGCAGATTTATCAACAAATCCACAGCTGATCAACATCCTGATGTCAAGTGTGTTGTCATACTGTTAGTCATATAAAATGACAGATATTTACAAATGTCCATGTTTGACTATAATAATATATATTATACAAAATTTCTGTACCTTCCCAGAAAATTCAGCAAATAAAAACGTAAACCTTCCAAACAGATCTAGTATGAAACTCCCCTCCCAGATTTTTTCACTGGAGCAATGTTGCTCTTCATACTGCTACTGCTGTGCCATTTCTTAGAGCACTTTCCACGTTTGCAAGGCTTTAAATTCATCTTCTTCACCTCTGTGTTTTAGTTTGCCAGTGAAAGTAAACTTGTAATTATTCTGATGCCTGGTGTGACTGCAGAACTGAATTATGTTACTGCTGGTTACTGTCGCTTGCATGAGGTTATGCAGGATCCTCTCCATGCATGAGCAGTTCAATTGTGTTATACAAAATATCATAGTACCAAGGAGCTTCCAGTCTGGTACCTAGATTTCTTTGTGACTCTTGTTGGAAGTCCTGTGATCTTAATTCTGTCCCCAGCACATGAAATCTAGCAGCCTAATTATGATTCAATATTRCACTTATTATTCAATTGTTACACTTATTACTCACTTATTGCACTTATTATTCACTTGTAATGAGCTTCATTAAATTTCCTTGAATGTTTGCTTAAAAATTCCTTTTTCATGGAGTCAGGATCAATAGTCTCCTGCATTTTCATACAAACTAGTCTAGCATGGTACTTATAATTATTTAGTTAAAGAGTAGTTTCCCAAAGACTTATAAAATGAAGCCGTGCCTTCAGTAATGTTATCTTAGAAAACCTGCCAAGTGAAATACTGACCTAGACTGGAAACACTGATTTTTTTTTCCCCTCCTACTTTCTTCATTTCAGGACAGGAAAGATTTGGAAACATGACCAGGGTGTATTACAGAGAGGCTATGGGGGCGTTTATTGTCTTTGATGTTACAAGACCTGCAACATTYGAAGCCGTGACAAAATGGAAAGAGGATTTGGACTCTAAGCTGGTTCTTCCAAATGGCAAACCTGTGCCCACAGTCCTATTAGCAAACAAATGTGACCAGGGAATAGATGTTCTTATGAACAACGGCATCAAGATGGATCAGTTCTGCAAAGAGAACGGGTTCGTGGGCTGGTTTGAAACATCAGCCAAGGTAATGTTTCTGTTTCTTTTTAAATGTTTCTAAGGACAGAGAAATCAATTCCTAAGCTAGTTCAGTTGGCCTAAATGTAAACCTTGAAAAGCTCCTCTCTTGATGGTATTAATTAAAGGTGAATTTATTTRTTTTATTTATTTATTCTATTGCCATGAAAATTACCTGAACCATTCTGAAATACAGCTGCTCTAATATGATAGGTCAGTAGTAAAATATGTGCCTGGTCAACAGGTGTTAACTGCACAATAGCCTGGGAAGGAAGATGACCTTAGGCAAGGCATAAAAGCTACCTCTTGAGTATGATATGAGGATGTTTTTTATCATTCTTAACATTGAATATTATCTCTAAATATTTTTTATAACCACTTTGCCTGAGAAATGCTGATTTGAGACAATAGCTTCATTGCCTYAGATTGTGGAAATAAATTAAGCCTATTGAGGTGTTTGTACAATGTTTGTTGTTATAAGCTCTCATTCTCAAAAGCTTTTTCAAAAAAAATCACATATCTGGAGAGGAAGGAAATATCAGTGGTCAAAGCACTGAATGAGCTTCTCTGAGGGTCAGTTCTTTGCCTTGGTACAGATTTCCTGAGTGCATTGAGGAATTGAAAATTGAGATAAAAATCATAATGGGCACTCGGACTTTCAGATTATAAAGGCCCAAAGTACATTGTTCTGTATTTCAATTTCATATGTCTCAGATAATTTCAGTTCATGCAGGATTTGGAGAGCTGGCRTGTGAAATACTGATTTGAACACAACAATTCAGTGGATATCGTGTTGATTGCATCCTCMTATTATGAAAGCTGGTGCCATCATTGACACCTCTCAGGAACTTTTGGATATTTTGAAATGGAAACAGTTTAGTTCTGCTTCAACGTAGTTAAGAGTCTGAAAGCCAAAACACTACATTTGATTGTTTAATTCATTTTGAACACTTTATGTAAGGTACTTAAGAACTTTGAGGGCGTATATTTTGACTTTTCTGGTCTTGACACCTTCTTTRAGCATTAATATTTAAAGGCTGTTTCACTTGTAATCAGCAGAAGTAACAGCRGGGGAATAACAGCATGTCCCAGACTCCCTCAAGCATTGCAGAACTCTGGGCTGAGATTGCAGCTTTTCAGTACTCAAAAGAAAGATGGGGACAAGACTGTTATCAGGGCCTGTTGTGATAGGACAAGAGGTAATGATTTTAAACCAAAAGAGGGTAGATTTAAACTAGAGATAAAGAATAGGTKTTTTTCGGACAAGGCTGGTAAAACACTGGAACAAGTTGCCCAGAGRGGTGGTGGATGCTCCAGACCTGAAAACATCAAGGCCAGAATGGATTTGGCTCTGAGCAACTTGATCTAGCTGAGGATGTCCCTGTCCTGGCAGGGGGTTGAGATAACTTGAAGGGGTCCCTTCCAAGCCAAACCATTCTATGATTCTATGATTCTATGATTCTATGTTTCTATGATTCTATGTTTCTATGATTCTGTGATTCCACGATTCTGTGTCTTTGTAATTATTGTCTTTTTTTTTCCTACTGAAAGGGTCTCAAATCTAGTCACTGTTTCTTCAACACACCATTTATAGGGAGAAATTTTGGTCTAGATAAGTGTACAAATTATCTTGCTCCACAAACAGGGTWTCTCCTATTCCTTCTTGTGCAGCACCTGGTTTGTATTCAGGTCTGTGGTTCATCTGCTGATTTATGTTGGGTGAGATCAAGAGAATCCAGTGTTCCTCTTTAGTATAAACTACTTTTTAGTACTCGAATGGAATCTRTACCATGAATTCCATACATCAGTCCCAGCAAGCACGGATCCATCACTCAACAAAAGGACAACCACATTTATTGTGCCAAGGGCCACTGCAGTTCATAACAGAAAATGAATGCATAAACAATTTCAGAAATCACAGAAGGGTTTCACCATGGTGATGGAGACAGTCAGGGACAGAACTATGGAAGTATAAAAGATATGTAAAAGACATATAAATTTTTTAAAAGTCACAACAGAGGAAATTTTTCCAAGTTTCTCTAAATCACATAGAATGAAGATCTTCCTGTTACTTTCAATATTGGAAATATCTTGATTATTCCTACTTTATTTAACTCCMAAATCCAAGCAGTCCCCAAACTGCCAATGCAATCATGTAAGAACAGAAAAAAAAAATCCATCTATGACAAGATTTGTTTTCAAAAGCCACCGTGAAGGGAGTGGTGAGAATTGAGGGCACACAACTGCTATCAGACAGTTCTCTGCTGGTATACACCAGAGGCTGGGACCTGTTATTCTGCAATCCACACACCCAATTTCCACCCAGAACTGGAGGCTACTGACTGTAAAATTAGGCAAAGAAGAGCCATTCCAGTAAAAGTGGTAAAATCATAACATTTAAACTAAATTAGATCAAAATAATTTCCTCACTTGGTCTAAGTTCTAAAATAAACCCTACACTTCATTTTCTRAACAAAAGTTATTATTACTGCTATTTTAGAATATTGGATGTTATACATACCTGGTATTCATTCAGCGTAGGGCATCATAAGTAATTGAATTTGGGTCTGAGAAAAATAAATACTTTGTTTGCTGCTGAGAATAGAAACTCCTCTGAAGCAGAATGAGAAAGGAGTCATCATATTTCAGCTAGCAGTTTTAGCAGTTCAAACAAGTAATAACTCTCTTTTTGTGGTACCCTGGAATAATTAGATCTCTGGAGGTTTTCTGGAGATGTGTTGGAAATGTAAAAGCCTTCAGAGCAAACTGAATGTGATTTACGCATTTTGGAAAAACAAAGGTGATTACTTATAAAAATAACATATTTTAGTTCTGGTTGCCTTGCAGAAAGCAGCATGCTATATCTGTATCTATCATATTTCATGTTGTCAATGGTTTTAAGCATTTTTTCTGTGGCACTGGAAGATTGCACTGAAAAAAAAAAAATCACTCTATTTTTCCCTGGTGCTCTTTTTTGTAAGTTAACAGCTCCAATATAAAACATTTGAGCCACCTAATGCATTCTCATGTATTAGTTTTGATCCTTACATTAATCTGAAAGAAATACTCAGCCTGTTCCAGTCTTCTGCTCCCGACAAAGAAAGAAGATTTTGTTTGGGTAGTTTTCCACGTAAGAAGGACTTTATTGGGCAACACCACAGCACAATATAGTCACAAGTTACACTATTGCCCTATATCCGGTGGAGAGCCTGGTCTCTTTTATATCTACATATTCAGTTTGCTCATATTGACTGCTGTCTGAAAAGACATCCCCAGAGAGTCATAAAATAACCCTTAATAATAAATTCTTTAATAAATTTCATGACCACAACTATTGCAAAAGATACATTCTTTAAAAGGAAGGAATTTTCTTCTTCCTGTCACACATTTAATTATCCAGCACATGGCCAGAGCAGCTGAGATCTCCACTCACATTTCCAAGCCTTTAAACTGTTTTCAACACCATTTCTAGTTCAAAGAGGTGAGCTTTTGACTTGGATTAGAAAAGGAGCAATTTCAAGCTTATTATCACTTTATAAAGAAAAKGGAACATGTGCAACAAAACAGGCAAGTCAGGCAAAACTAAATGTGCTTGAAAGTAYTTAATTCAGAAATAACTTGAAATACCTTACAACTGGCCATGGCTGTACTGTGATTATGCCTGAGTTCCTCTTTTTCCTGCTGTAATTCTGCTGTCAGCAATACAGAAGTAGATGAAAAGACATTTATGTTTTGTCTAAATTGCCCAGAAATGCTGGTAGCTGTGCTTTTCAGAGGCTTACAAAACTAGGTTAAGCACACAGCTCCTTGTCTCCTGAACATCATGGCCTGGAGACTGATGAGCAGTCTGAGTCTCTGGGCTATTTGGACCAGGAGTATATTGCAGAATCTTTCTCCCTCTAAGAAATGTGCATAATAAAATGTCCTTTATTCAGCTTTTGTTTGATGGGCAGTCCATGGTGTGTCACSATAGCTTCATAATGATTTGGGTTGGAAGTACCTTAAAAACCARCTAATTCCAACCCCTCATAGGGCCCAAATGCTGGACTAGCAATCAGAAGTCTTCTTTGCCATTGATCTGCTGTTACCTTCAGAAAGTTATTCTCTCCTCTGATCCAGCCCTTTCTTTTAAAAAGCAAGGACAGTAATTCTGCTCATCTTACCAGTGGACTCTGTGAATAAATCAAGCTCCACTAGCCCTTGTTTAARTCACAAATTTTTCAATTCTTCTGAGTGGACAATTATTATGAAAGATGAAAAAAGCAAGCTATGCAGTAGACTTGCAGAGGAACAGTATAAGCAGTTCTGATTTCCATAAAGTAAAACAAGGTTTGGACATGTCTTTGAATTAGGCTGACACTCTAAACTAATCTGCTGATCTGGTAACTTAAATCCAAGCCATCCATTGAGACTGCCAGACCCAGTTAGGGATGTGTTGTTCCATATCCTGTCTTTTTAATTCACTCAAAAAAAATTAACCAATCTCACTGCACAGAGACTTAGAAAATATTTAATCTTCTACCATATAGCAAGAAATAAAGCTGACACTTAAGGCWGATTTCATTTCAGATGTACAGTTATTCTGCTCAGAATCCTCTGCAGAGTTTGTTTCCTTTAATTAAAAGGATTTGATTCAGATTCTCCTATGGGTATTAGAGCTGTCCTGTAGYTTTCTGGATCACTTTCATGAAATACAATATTTAGTGTTGTCCTAAAGCAGGAAATTCAGAAAATCACAAAATTGTTGAGATCGGAAGATCAATCAGTAAAATAATTTATTTGCAGGATATTCCACCAGCTGTAATAATTCAATCACAGAAATTATCTTGTTCTCAGAGTTGCATTCACAGCAGTTCACACTCATGAATTTCATGTTCATGAATCCAGATGGCTTTTAACTTGTGAGGCTGTATTTTCCTAGAAACACCACTGCAGCAGTATGGCATCTTAATAAGGTTCTGCTCCCAGTGGTTTCCAAGGGAGTCCTGCTAAGGGAGCATGTGGAGCCATTCCCTCAGACTGCTACCCCAGGAGAGTGCAGGTTAAAGCATCYTTAAAGTCATTTCCCTGCTCCAGGATTTTAGTGCATAATGGAAACAAAATGTGGAAGCTATGAGCTTCTCACTAATAGGCTCACTAAGGCTCCCATCTAATACCTGAATATTTCACAATTTGTAAATGCTTGCTTATGRGAAGTCATTTTCCTTCAGCTGCAGTGGTAGTTTAAGGTCACATCTCTAGGCAGCACTGATTTAGAGCTCCCCAAGCGCACTGTGCCTGCATACACACTGTTCTTCACTCTGCCTTTCAAGGTAAGACTCAGAGGCACCAGATTCAATAAAAAAAAGAAAGTATCATTGTAAAAAGGGAAAAGCTTTATACCAGAAAACAACCAGATAGACAAATATAAGGTACATGCATGGTAAAGAAACAGAAATTTCTTTCATCTGGAATTGAGACAGGCCTTTAAAATGAGCAAGGGTCTTTATTGTTCTACAAAGAGCTAAGAGCCAGTCTAGTCTGTGGGGACTTGCTTCATATATTAAAAAGGAGTGACCTAAATGTTAATGCTCTGCATCTGCAGGAGAGATGGCAGATAAGGGGGAAGGTAATCCAGGATGCAAAAAAGGTTGCTGGGCTTGTGTACTACTTTGAGTCACATTCAGTAATGTATTTGTTTTCCTTTTAGCTGATTGTTGCTTACAAGACGTTATTTCCAATAGCAATCAGTTTAAAGGTTTAAAATAATGCAGCTCTCTTTCCCTGCCCTCAGTTGCTATCCTTTCCATAAAACTGCCCTTTGAAAGGATATATTTAAATAAGATTGATCTATAAAGCGAACTCTAATTTCATTTGTGTCTTCCAGTGTTCCTTTCAGGCTTTCAAAGRTTACGCAGAATTATTTTCTCTGCCTTGTTTTATTTGTTAATAGAATAAAGAGTAGCACRTGCTGATTTTTGCTTTTACATTCTTTCTTGATGAGGTCAGGAGAAAGACTGGCTCAAGTAGGCAGACATCATCACAGAGGCAGGGTTTAGGTCCTTGCTCTGGCAGATTTTGGCAGRTTGAGGGAGGATAAGTCACTTAGGCATGGATTCACAAATCAGYTCTTGCACTGACTGGGACAGTGACTCTCAGCTGCTGGGGCTGCTGAGGCACTCAGAAATGGGCCAGACACCTCTGGGGACAGGGGCAAGAAAAGGRTTTTACAAAGGCTGGCATGTTGAATCAGGAATAGAAGACTGATAGTCACTAAGACACCACAATTTGGGTGAGATCCTTCTTTTTGGTCTTGCAGAAAAACCTCTCCCTTGGGAGAGAGCTTTCCTTGGGAAAGTGTTGTGTTCTTACCTTATCATGTGAAGATTTCATCCTATGCCATCTCCCACTTCCCAACTAGCCACCATGTGCTGGACCACGTTTCATGTGGTTTCCTCTGATTGTGGCTCTGCCTTTTCTTCATTGGACAAATGGCCCAGGCAGCAGTTCCCTACCCCAGAAAGATGCTGGGTCGACAAACACATCAAAGATGCAGCGCTGAGTCACACCAGCCCTAAAAGCAATACAGGGAGAAGAGATCCCCTGTTTTTGGAGAGCTGTGAAGGTAAAGCTGGGCCCAGAGGAGGCTGGATAACCCACACCACATCTGCATCCAGTATCATGTTGAGATCCAGGGAATGCCTGGACACCTTGCTGGTCAGGAGGACGCACAGGAGGTCCCCCAGTATAACCCAAAAATTTGCTCAGAACATGAAAGGAAGTTATTAAAAACAAAGGCAAAACCAAATGAAAAAGAGAACAGAAAAAAAGAAAGGGAAGGGAAGGGAAGGGAAGGGAAGGGAAGGGAAGGGAAAAGAAAAAGAGAAAAAGAAAAAAAGAAAAAGAAAAAGAAAAAGAAAAAGAAAAAGAAAAAGAAAAAGAAAAAGAAAAAGAAAAAGAAAAAGAAAAAAGAAAAAAGAGAAGCCTGAACTTCAGCAATCATCACAGTTCCTGTGGTGTTCTTTTGTTGGGTAAATGCCATACAGAAGATGACAGTTATGGCATTTCAACACAGAGATCTATTGAAAGATATTGTTTCCCTCTGCTGTCTCACATGTATTTTCTTTCTCTTTTGAAATATAATTAATCTTATTTTTAGGCATAATTGAGGCTGTTTCCATGTCTCAATACCATTAGTAGGGTGTCTGTGATTGTTCCTCTCTGTCCAATCTTATGCTGTGATTGTTGGTTTCTTTGTATTTAAATGGATTTTYGCCTTCTCTTTATTCTCTTTCCTCCCCCTGATTGCCTTTCAGCRCTGACTAAGATCACCAAGCCTCTGGATATCTGTGTTTGGATAGCAGATCACCTTCTACTGTCTGCAGCTGCTTCACTGCCCATCAGGCTATAGATTTTTCTTTTGCAAAACACACTGTAGGAGGAGAGGTGGAGAAATCAATATTTCATTAGTCAGACCAGAACACAGCGATGTCTGATCTGCAGATCCAGGACACCACAGGATTAGGGTTGTAACAAAAGGCAATAGCAGCCTCAGAAAGGCAGTGGTCAAGGCAGGATTTGGGACAGCAGGAGTTGCTCTGCTGCCATGACCACAGGCTCCTTGCAGCAGGTGGCTTAACATGTCACTTCTCATCCATGCCATGTGCCAGTTGTCATCTGAACCACGGGAGCAGGCTGGAGCTAGACACAAACTCAAAACCAGCTGTGCTGCCTGCTGGGTTTATATTTCATCTCCTTGGACCCCAGCAGAAATTGTCATCCACACAGCTTAAACAGTTCAGGGTGAGAAAATGCCTTTACACTCAGGGCAGGACTTTTTATTCCTTCCCTCTCATTTCTTTTTAGTTTGAGTACTGGGTGAACTTTTTTTTTTTCTTCTGAATTTTTAGGCTCATGTCTGTTCCATCACCAGTAGGGATGAAGGATGTCCACTTATAYCTATGTAATGCTTTTGTGGGCTTGGGTTCCTTCCCCATTTTCCAATTCTATAAAATGATAGCCATTGACAARGAGGCTTTCTGTTAACACATCTGAATATTAACAATATTGGGCAGAATCTTAGATAGCTTCTAAGAAACTATTGAATAAGCATGTTCTGCCATTTCAAGGCAGAAGCAGCACATGGGTAAATGAAATGCTCACCAGTCAATTAGTARAGACAAACACAATGCAAAAGATTTTTACATTTCTGGGTTTGTGCATTTAATAATCCTGTTTCGATTTCAGATTTCTAAGCAGTACTGAGAAATGTTTTTCATTGTCTGGGGTTTTTTCTAATAAAATTTCACAGTGGTCTGAAAAAGGTTTTCAGTGCATGCTTGAGGAATTTTCTTGTCTGGTCTGAGACAGCCATGTGATGCAGCAGAATTYTAACATCTCAGTACAGAGACAATTTCCAGTTCCAGTTACTTGTCTAAAGATTTGGGAGGTTACAACCTACTGATATTTTTACATATAAAATACTTAAGTTCACATATGTTGTTGAGGAAACCTGTGAAATCTTGCCCTAATTAATATTTACAGTTAGATCCACAGATTTCAGCTCTTTACTGTGGTACAAAGGGATGGACAAAGGAATCTGTGGAATTTTGCCATTGATTTCAAGAGGATCGGACAAAGTCAGCCTCACAGAATCCATTCCTTTAGCTTTTAATTTTCCTATAAATATACCTTCTCTACTGAAACACACAAGAGTGCCTGTCTTTTATAGTTAGTTTATGGCCTCAGTACAGCCAGCTCCAGAGTGCCATCCAGAGGGACCTGGACATGYTTGAGAATTGGGACTAGATGGATTTTAAATATTCCTTCCAACCAAAACTATTCTATGATTCAGTGATTCAGCTTGAAAACCTGGGTAATCTTAGGTTGCAAATAAAACAATATGTTTACTGAGCAAGAGTAGTGTGTGCATATACATAAACGTATACACATAYATCGGGATGCATTTCCATGTGGATGTATGTGGCTGTGTGATACAATTTCCTAGAAGATTGAAGCTACAGTGAAGTTTCTATCTCCTCCTTATAAAATAAGTAATCAATGCMAATAGCCAGGCTAGAAGAGTGCCTTTTATGCCAGAAATCCTGACTTTTCATTCCAAACATATTGGTGGCTGCCATTTAATAAAAAATCCTTACTCAGTGCTACTGCTTATTTTCTCTGCTGCATTGAGCTGTGTCTCACTGATCAGGCTGTTTCAGCTGTACTTATTCTACAGAGTAAGGCTTGCTGCAAGTTAAATATGCAGTCAGTGTAAGGCACATGCAGAAAAAGATGTGCTTGAGATTTCATTTTAAACCCCTAGACTAAGGATTTCTGTCCGGCAAATGAAACCAGGAGTGATATATCTCTTCTGAAGCAGTGCATTGGACATAAGTGAGCTTCAACAAGAAATATGGGAGGACTCCAAATCATAAAGAACTTTTTTACTGTTTTGCTAGCAATTTGAGATTGTATCATTTATTCTGGTTCATCACAGGTTTCACCGTGAGCACTGCATACAGAAATCTTTTTGAAACTGTGGAAAAGGTTTTAAAAAATAAGTGCTATGCATGACTGTAATTTCTGGCAGGTAATTAACAATTTGGAAATCAGAGTAACCCTTATTTAAGCAGTGCAATATGGGCTTTGGAGCTTTTCTTCAGGCAGTGGTCTTCAACACCTCTCTGGCATTTGTTTTTTCAGTTTATTGAAGCAATCAAATCACCAAGAGATTGAGCTTATTTAAAGTCAGTTTTGTGTACATTTTAAAAGAGATATGAATTATAACATATAAAATAATAAAACTTAACCAGATTCGAACTCCAGTAATCACTMTTTAACACAGTCAATTTTTAAAAACTGTTTATTAAGGTAAGTAAATTTTTGATGTTGCCAAGAGAAAAGTTTAATTATGCACAGGAAATATGTAGCATATTTAGGTTTAATTAATATTGACTAACCCACCTCTCTTTCTCTTTCACTTGCAGGAAAATATAAACATCAATGAAGCTTCCAGATGCTTGGTGAAACACATAATTGCTAGCGAGAGTGATCCAGTTCAGTTTATTGAACCAGATATTGTAAAGCCACACTTGAATTCCTCCAAGATTGTCAGTTGTTCAGCTTGTTTTAAATCCTAAGAGACTTCCAGACTATTACAAGAGCTGAACAACTATGATTCACAATTTATATTTTATTCAAYGAATCCAGCCTGCCCACATTGTCCCTAAGCAGATTGCCAATTTCTCAGAAATGTATTTAAATTTTTCCTTTTTTGTTTTTCTGCTAAAATTTATTATAAGCTGTTCATTGATAGCAAATATTCAAAACTCTTTTAGGCTACTGGTCAAATATGACTCATGGTGACTGCTGTGTTTTCCTATTTRGGTAGCACCATTGATATCAAAGCCTATTTCTTTGCCATGTGGTTTCTGAAAATTCCTATTTGTGATGTGACTGCAGTAGCACCCTACTTGTCTAATGATATTTTCTTTTTCATTTTCTCAATACCTTGACCAGGCAAATGTCATCATTGCACTCTTTGTCACCCCTCAGACTTGAACAATCTTGTTTCATATGTGGAAGATGATGATGATAATGAAAATTYAGCTGTTCAGAGACACCACGAATGCTCACAGTTAAATCTTCTCATTGCAAGTTCAGTCTCCCAGATGGAGTGACAGAACTGAATGTGAAGAAACATTTCACATCATACATTCTCCAGCAGATCTGAGCTCCTGAGACTGATGAAGTTCCAGCTCCCTCTTCCTGAGGACTTACATTCTCATAGTTGATGGCATTCTCTTAGATTGAGCAAAATGGAACAAGTCAAGTGTGAGGGGTGACAAAACAGGTGATGAGAGGTACAGTCTCACAGGTGAAGCAGCTCAGGGTTTTCAGAAAGGTTATCTGTTCTATAAAGCCAGCATTTCTTCTGACAAGTCCACATTGATTTTCTTTCCCTGACTCTCATCCCTCATGCCACAGATATCCCTGTGTGTTTAAACTGCATGTTATGTAAGTCCTTACATTCATCCCTTCATTATGTTTATGCTCATGGTAAAATTACTATTAACACTGCAACATAACAGCAGAACTTCTCCGAAATCCATCTGTATTGAATAGAAGGGTATTTGCTTTCTGAAAACATTTTTCTAAAATGTATATGAATGATCACAGGAAGCAAGCAAAATGAAACAGTCCTAAAAGACATTTCTGGAAGTCGTGAAGAATTTATTGAGCTGTATGTACTGTGGAAATGAAATGGTTGATTTTCCGCATCTCACAAAAAATGCAGATTGGTGGAGTCGTTCAGAAAAGTGTGTCTAGAAAAGAAGTCTGAACATCTGTCTGCAAGCCCCTTCAAACAAACTTTGCCTCTATCCTGCCACAAATAAATCACTTGCACTTTCTGTTCTTACTCAGACTTTTCCTTCCTAAACTATGAACTCTCAGTTGCAAGAGCTGTCTTCAGAGATGGGTTCTTTTTCTTAGAGAGGTGTAGCACCATGGGAGGGAGGAGACATCTGCCTTGTTTGCAGATGTCACTGCAATACTTCACTGAACACGTAGTTGGAAACGAAGGAGTGAAAATCTCAAAATCTAGTAAATACCTGCTGCATAAGAAAAATGAAAAATAAAAAGTCCTCAAGCTGACCTTATACTGTGAGACCTATGAGGTTCATGTGCCTGTAAAATTCATCCTGCTTGGCAATGTAAGGTTTATGTTTGGATTCAGTTTTAAAGTTCTTTTCCAACCTAAATGATGCTATSACTTTGTGCCTCTATCACTAAATGCTCTGTTACAATATTGGCACTGCAGACAAGCCTGGAGAGACAGGGGGAGAGACATAGCTCTTTGTGTGCTGTTCCTAAAGCCTTCTGTTTTTGTCACAGGATTGTGGAATAAGAAAGCGAGATCTCTAGTTTTAAAAATTAACATGCACATCCAGAATTAATCTGCACAGATGTAGATGTATGGATACATATATATAGATAATGAGCTGCCTTTTTTGAGAGCAGTTTTCAAGTTGTCTTGATTGCTGTGTTATCCTTTAATACCTGTGTTGAAAATCGTTTAACTCCTGCTGTGACCTGGGTCAAACACCTAAAGCTTCCTGCCTCRGTTTCCTCATCTGTAAAACAGGGATCTATGTACATACCTACCTCACAGCACTCCCTGTTGGCAAGTCACTGTTGGCTCTGTGCTTTGGAGATACATGTTCTACAAATGCCAAGCTCTGTCACTGCTCAGAATGAAATGTGAGTGCCCTCTAGCATAAATACATGGTGCTGTAATACCTTGGGTGTTTATAAATCTATCGAAGGCTTGCCTGGGCTGCAACAATTAGCTTTGATTATTCCATCTCAGTTAACCTGGTCAAGGTTAGAAAGCACTGTGTGACTTCATGGGATGCTCAGATTGGCTGCAGATGGTTTGCAAATGGAAGCTGTGGCTGCACAGTTGTCATGGTACTAGTTTRGTAATCTCAGCAACAAAGCTGCAATTCAGAACTAGTGCCACATCAGTTATTTCAAATTTAAAGCATTATTTAAGTGAAGTCATRTGCCTTATTAAGGATAACAATTCATATCCTGAGCCAACACTGYGGGGAACACAAGCAACTAGGTATTCAGATAGCCTCTAAAAGGCTAATTTTTCATAAGTCGAACCCCATACTTTATTTATAAATTTGCAGGTCTCAGGTGAAGCAGAGAAAGTTGCCATTTCATCCAAAAATTATTTTGTGCTCAACTCACAACAAACAGAAATTTCTTATGTGTTTTACTTATCCTCATMTCACCTCTATTTGGTAGCTTCCAACAATATTCACCAAGCATAACAGTAAATTCCATGAGACTGAAACCTATGGCTAAAGATCTGGTTTAACCATAATTAAAACAACCCTGCATAAATAAAACACTTCAATGACATATAGACATTTCTTTTCTTCTYTTCTGTACTACATAAACCTGCTTTAAAGTACAGACTCATAAACTGTTCACCTTGTTTCTGTTGTCTCAGGTTTTTCTGCAGTCAYTGTTCTTGGGCAGATTTTCCACCTCTGGTACATGGTGGACAGGATGTGGCCAATTGTTAAACTAAGGACTACACAACACAGAAGTTCTAAAGTCATACGTATTTACAACATAAGAATTAGAACAGTATCACGAACAATCAGACCTCCTTAGGAGGTTACATAACTATATATGTTCATTTTTATTTGAACTCAAGTGATAAAAATCTCTCAAGTTTTTTCTATAACACAATAAATGTGTGAATGCAACCTGGATATATAACAGAATCTTTTTAGAGAAGGTTATTGTAGGCAAGCCAGAATAAAAGCTTTAATTTAGAATTAATGAGCTCAGTTTGTGCCAATACCCTTTCAGGAAAAAAAAAATGTAAAATTTAATTTTACTGTGTCAGTCCCAAGCAGAATGAATTTCTTTTGGTTTTCTTGATACAGTCTGTGCTATGTTCTCTTTGCTGGTCACCAGGGACCAGGCATCTTAATCACATGTCCATTCCAAAATTAAACATTTTCACTTTCTGTTTGCTATAAGTAATGAAAGATGGGGGGTTTTTTTGCCTTGCAAATGGGCGAAGGCACTGCAAAGATTACAGTTCTCCAAATATACCCCTCTGGGTATSCCAGAACCTCAAAGCACATGTTGATGAGCAAGTGAGGTGCTGGACATGAGATATCAGCCCAAACCACTCAATTAAATAAAATGGTGGTTAAGCATCTTCACCCCAGACATCATTTGCAACTCAGCCACAACAYCAGTAATGACAGAAGATCTTTCATTTTCCATGTTTGAAGCTCCATACAAACAAAACCTCATACTTTGGGAAGTATATACATATTAATGAAAGATAATTACTCTGTTACTCCAGAAAGACCACAGTTTATTTGATCAGGTTCAGTTTTCAGCAGGAAGCCATTTGGACTCTGAAAACCAGGCTTTGTTATTCTCACGTATCACTCTTTTAGGTATCATATTTTCATTAACTTTTCTATTCAGAATTAGAAGTTCCAACAGTACTCTGTGTATTCAGCTTGAATTGTTGTACATCAATATTTTATCTTCAGACTTTGTTTTTTTCTGTTTTAACCTACCTGACTATATAAAATGGGGASGGAGGGAGAGAGGGAAGGAGAATGTGCACCTTTAATAAGCAGTGTTGTTTTACTTCTTGAAACAGCTTGTCTAGATGGATGAAGTGAAATTGGTAAGCAGATGTGGGAAATGAACTCTGTGTCAATTGCCAGGAAACAGTCAATGAAAATAACTTTTACTGCACCAATATTTATGCWTGTGACCGCAGGTTCTATTGTAATAAAAGATGATATTTCTCACAACACATGGAATATGAGTAATTTGTAAAATTAATTCATTAACCAAAGTAGGCACATACAAGTAGCCACAAGCTAATTCAGCTTTCCTCATATGTAGCCAGCTTACAACATATATATGTTTATTTTAATAATTTAATTTAAACTGCTTACTTTCTGTACAACTTCTCTTTTAAACCATCCAGGTTAGTGTTAGACTTTGGTTAAAGAGACAGAAACTTTCCACCTTTTCTCCCTATTTTATACCCAATTCCAGATGCAACTTTTATGGCTCCAGCTCTTCAAAGAACCTCAGTTCAAAGTCTGATTTTTCCGGCAGAATTTTTGGCTCACAAATAGGTGCATCATCAGTTTGGAGGCTCATTAGTAACCACAGGCTCAATTGTTGGAAGTCTGACTGGGTAAAAAATGGCCTAAATTTGTAAAACAGGCAGCTGCATATCTGGGGTGTAGTAACTGCATTTTTCTTCAGCTGTCAGGACAAGCTGGTACCTGCAGTAATGTTACACGCTTTACTTCTCATGATTCCCTAGAAATATTAGATTGTTATATTAATTTAAAAAAAAAAAAAA